CTACACTCTCCTCGTTTCCTGTTGTGGTTTGATCTCTTTTTCATCATTCCAAGACGTCGTTGCTTTTCCCACTGAACTTCCTGCCACTTTCCAATTTCCTGGTTGATTGTGCCGACTGAGAATGTTCAGGTTTCTTTTGGGAGATTTTTGTATCAAAGGTTTGAGGCCGACTATAATCCCACAGCATTTGTTACATAAAACCTTAAGAGGTCGGTCCGAGCTGAGGATCCTCTGAACTCTGTGTCTGGATTGACGGCCAAAACTGCAGCAGAAGAACTCGGATCAACATCCAGGTGATAAACTGTTGGTTTGGAACAAATGGTCAGTTTGAACCAGATGACAAACGGCTGCAGCCTGAACAAGGTCGTATAAATGCTACATCAGGCTAACACTGTCGCCGGTTCGACTTGGTAAAGTGTCCGATCGGGTTAGTTATAATTATAATTCTCTGTAACAATGAGGCTAAAAGTCTGGACCATCCAGATAATCGTTCAGAACGACAGTTAGCCTAGCATCTGCCAACACGACCTCTGCTGACCTGGTGCTAAAACGTACTGGCCAAACGGCTACATTGGCTGTTGAAGAAACAATATGAACGTTGGGGAAACACCGACTCCTGCCAACCGCCGCCCTTCAGGCTCAAAAATGAAAAATATCGTTTGGGATTTTCAATCATTCATGGTGACAATATTGCACTAGCTTTAACTTTGTGATGTAGCGTCAGCGATGACATCACTTCAGTGATGCATAAACATAATTGAGCCAAAACAAGTGTCAACATTTTTGGACAGAATGATTCTCGATTCTTACATTTGACTCAGAACCACCGACCGGACCACGCCCGACCCAAAGAGAAGGACAATCTGAACTGCAGGATTTAATGTAACGTTATCGCAGTGACAGGATTCACAGGTGTCATTCTGAAAGATCGCAGTCGTCAACTGCTAATGTAACTGTGGCACTTTAATACTACCCACAACTGCAAAATGATTTTGTCTCATCGCTTAATGCTAACGTTGATTTTTGGTTTGCTCCATGTGACACGTGACATTCTCCTCATTGTACCTGTCAGCAAACCCCAGGAAGGAAAAAAAAAAAAAACCCTTGGAGGACCATTGAGCATCACCTGGTTTTCATCTTCCTTTTAATGTGCATGTTTAGGTGGCTAACTATGTAGCCACAACTGTTTGGGACAAAAAAAAATTAATGATGACAATTTTCAGTCTTGATTCATGGCAGCTACTGTCACTTCCATCCCATGTTTCTACACCACCACTCAGCCTAATGTTAAAAATGTACCCACATTTGGAATTATACGTAGTTGTTAATGGTGCAACAGAAATAAAATGTGAAAAATGGAAACTCCGAGATAAAGTGCTCTCTTAATAAAACCATTTGACTCAAACCCCCACAGACTCAACAGCTGAGGTCAGTGTTTGTAGCTGTGCACATATACATATATATTAAAACTGACCACGTGACCTCATCTTCACAAAAACATCCACAGTTGCCGACATTAGTAAATTTGATGAAGACGTGAATTGTTCTATTAATTATCTATTTTTTATCTGAATATTAAACTGGTTTAGACGACGGTAGTGTCCTCACACACTCCTGCACTTCAGTACTCGTGGCTGAAACATTCCCCAACACTCCATTGGTTCAGGTTTCTTCCAGCTTCATTGTGATTGGCTGCTTTTAGACTCTTTGCCTGGAAACAGAGAGAAGCTGCTGCGACTGCACACATACATGCACTGAGACACATTTTTATCTTCTTTATCTTTTACAAAACTTGATGGGATTTTAAAGAATAGATACAGTACATTGACGGGCAACAATCCGCAGGAAAATAATTATATATATATATATTTAGTAAAGTAAATAATACATGTAGTACAGATTTTTTAATTAACATCCGCCTCCATTGCTAAGTAAAAACACGTTATTTTCTGACTTAATTATCAAGAACAAGAAAAATAATTTTATTCTTTCGTCATTTGCAGGTTGGACGAGCTGTTATACAGACATTTTAATTAGGCACGCTTTGAGTCAACCCCTCACGGTGTGGGCGGGTCCTAATGTTGTTCATACAAACAACCTGACTTGTCCAAAATCCTTGAAGAAAAATAACCAAAAACACTACGGAATGCGTTTGTGACCACGTAAGTGACCCAACATCGGAGTGTAAAGTATTTAATTATTACACAGGGTGCGCACAACGGTGCTTGACTTGACACAATATACTTCAAATCAAGTTCGTCGATATGAAATAGCGAGCTAACGCGAATTAGCATGCACTTGTACTAGCAATGCATTTTTTAGAGCCATATTTTTACCATTTCCGTTTTGCTATTACATGTCTGAATTTTTCACGACAAATTATTTTTCGTTTTTTTTTCATGTCAAATGTATTTAGAAGTAGTAGTTTCGACAGATATTATCAGTAAACCTGACATAGTGTTGAGTTTCCTTGTTGGAGGGAAACAAGTTACTCTATTAGCACTCGACGTAATCCACATTTTCAACTTTCTTCCGTGAGTACGTCAATCATTTACATTTTTGAACCTCACTAGTCAGTAAACAAATTACGTTGAAATACTTTAAGACTTTAAGAAGTGAACGTTAGCGAATATCGTAACTTTCGAGCTGTATGATGATGATGCGAACGTCAGCATCTGAATGATGTGGCCAGATTTAAATTATGTCTTAACTTATATTGACATATATGGTACTTGAACATGAGCAAATATATTTTGGCCTAAAACCTTTTTAAGTATTATTAGTCACGATAACTGCTGCTAGCGTCATTTGCATTATATTTATGCAGTATATTGTATGTTTTGACATTTTATTTACATGATATTATATACATTTCTTTAATAGTTTATTTGAACTTCGCTGCATTGCTCTTTTTTCCACTTGTGTTTACATTTTATTGCAGTAGTAGAATATTATACTTTTCAGTATAAGAAAAATAATAATAATAAAAAAAAGTAATAAAAAGTTCAAGTAATTTTAACAAAGACATTACCAAATTATTGCTGTGTCAGAAAAGATAACAAAAGTTTATCCTGAAACCACATTCATCATATTTGGTACGATACGTTGCTATGTAATAGTTGGTCAAACCATAAATGATGACAATCACACGATTATTGTTTTCTTTTTTAAAAACAAAAATACACCCTTTTTATTGTCAGATATAAAATAAATACAAAACAAAGATGGACAGTGGACAAGGATGTGGGGCTGCAGCACAAATATGAGTGGGAAGTACGAAAAAGATCAAGGGGAACAGTCTCATGTATGGAACAGCACTCGGCTGATGACGACAAACACAGGCCTCCCGCGTTTGTTCTTGACGGCGCGTACTGTAGGAACAAAGCCAGAATTTGGGGATAATTTAATTGGTGCAGTTGAACCTGAATGGAGAACATTTTAGTCAATTGTGACATTGAAATGTGTTTGTGCCTCTTTAAATATTAGCTATCGTAAGTTTACAGTTTACAGAGGAACTGCTCGTTCACTGCTTCCCCCTGCGCTGCCCCCTGTGTTCAGTTTGTGCACAGTTACAAATTGTTGCTAGTTTTCAACCTGTAAAATAATTTTGAGTGAAAAATAATAGAGAAGAAATTAAATATGAGATTTGCCAATTTGTGGTAGACTTTTAAAAATTCAATGTTACTTGTTTTTTTGAATGTTTTTGTTTGTATGGGAGGGCATATTTTCTTTAGTTTGCTTTAGTTTTCCAACTGAATGATCCCTTTAACTTCTGAAGCTGTTATTGTAAAATAACAAAAATCAGCCCCTGTTTTCCCTTTAACACTGACTGTGCGTGTCCTGGTGTCAACAGAACCTGCTGTTGTTCACATCCATGAATCCTAGCTTGTGGTGGTTACTTTTCCTGTTGCTCAGTATTTCTTTCTTCCCTGGTACAGTCTCTGCTGACGGGTTTTTTTTTTAGGAAAAGTGAGGATGTACATCCTCACTTTTCCTAAAAAAAACCCAACAACCTGTAAATAGATAGTTTGTGACGTACTTCAGCTTTGAAGATACCTGAACATGTTTGTTGGTGTTAAAATGAGTGAGAAGCTCGTGAGTGTTCAGCAGCAGAGGTTCAACTACCCCATTACCCTGGGGGAAAATGTTCAGATTCTGTAGAACTTCACTACTTAATCAGGACCACAGTCGGTGTGTGGTGTCAACGTGAAGACCTGGGTTCTTTGAGTTTTACCTTCGGGAGTTTTAAGATTGGATTTTAACAGCTAATCAGTTGGCAGTTTGGCATTTAGCAAAGACTATCTTGGGTTTTGGGCAGATAAACTCAAACTGGACTCCTTCAGGTTCTATTGCGGTCTAGTTCAGTTTTTTCCGGGGGGGATTTCATGGAACGCCGAGGGACTAGTGGTGGACCTGATGTTTAAAGAAGCAGTTGACAACATGAGAGAGTTTGTGCTTATTTCACATTTGATTGACTTAAAAATGACTACAACCCTGCGGACCTGGGATCTGCAGTTTCAGTGCATGTATACCTGCAGTGTCCTTGGAGAACCAAACCCAGCTTCCAGTCCACACAGGTGCTATAAGATAGTCCTGGAATGTTTTGGGAATAACATGATTGTTTTCCATCAGGAAGCCGCTCATTAGTGCTACAGGAAACACGGCAGTACTGAACCTTCCATCATCCTAACCAATCTGACGATCACAAAGGAAGGGGGCGGGGGCAGAGGGGGGGACAACCACCCCCAGTGGGAAGACTGTAGTGTCCTTAAACAGGGGGTGTGATACTCCCTGTCTTGTGTTCTGACGGGTCACACGACAAATGCAGAACCTAAAACAAGGACAGTCATTTAACAGCTTCACAGACTTGTTGAGTTCTTGGTCTTCTTCAACACCTTGACACTCTGACATCACTGACACAATGGGAGATCCTCAGGAGTCCTGGAGGACCTGGATTGTTTTTTTTGTTTTTTTTTTTGTCATTTTTTTTTTTTTACTACAACTCAAACTTGTTTTTGTGGGGAGGCGTTTAAGTCCCAACCCCCCCTCCTGTCTGCTGGATCAGGCTTTCATCACTGAACGTCATAGAACATTGAGCAAGTTCTGATACAGGACAAGGTACTGTCCTCATTGCTGATCTTGCTTGAAAAATGGCCGTTGTTTTAGATCAAGATGTCTCCACGGGAACCTGGTGACGAGTGTTGGACCAGTTTGAATTGTGTCTAAATGTTATCGTTGAGCCGTTCCTCTGAGCTGAAGAACATCTGTGGTAACCCTGGACACACCATCCAGAACAGGATCAGGACAGCTCAGTCTTATCACCTACTTCCGTGTGATGTCCCGCTCCGACTTCGGAGCAACCGGGTGCTAACAACGTCCTGCGGTTGTAGTGGTGGTGGCCCTTCATTATCCCCGAGTTGTTGTTCTCGTTAAGGATCTGCTTCTGCTTCTGTCGGTTGAGGGACTGCACCAGACCGAGCACCACGGCGGCCAGCGAGTACTGCCCGGTGATTTTTCGTGGCTGCAGGATAAGCGGGTTCGGTTGCACACGTCCCAGCAGGAAGTGCGTGCGGATTTTGCCCTCCTGTTCGCTGATTCCCTTTACGTAGATCTCCCCACGATACTCGAAGGCAAAGCCGCGCTCCTTGAGGATCAGGTAGGTTTCTTCAGGGACCTGGATCTTTCCGCTCACTCCTGTGCTGTCCATTCGACTGGCCAGATTCACCGTCTTCCCCCAGATGTCGTACTGGGGCTTTTTGGCTCCTATCACACCTGCGACCACGGAGCCGTGAGCCATGCCTTTTCAAAGACAAACAGTTGATTAATTTAGACAAAAAGCTGTTTATGTTTTAAGATGAGAGAAGGTAAGAACCGAGCCGTTACCGATCCTCAGCTCAAAGTTGTTAAAGGAGTGTTTGTTGATTTCCTGTATGCTTTCGTTGAGGGCGATGGCGAAGTCTGCCAGCTCACACAAGTGACCCCATTTATCTTCACACTGCTGTGGAGGACGGAAGACAAAAGTGTCAATTTGGGGGAAAAAGCTACCTGGACTGTGAGTCCTGTCTGTAGTATTTTATTCTACCACAGGGAGCAGCGTTAGCTTCACCTGCTATGGTACATACACACTACAAGACGTGTCCACAAGGCCTGGACTGCTGTAATCGCCCTCTTTGTCATAAACGATGACAACCAAGGAAGTGAGACATCTGGACTCATCTTAAACTTCCTGTCATTTGGTAAATGCTGATTTGAATTGATCTTTAATTTATATTTGTTTCCTTATCAGTTCATTCCATTGTCCTGTCAAAGTCTGTGGGTTCTTCTGGAACCGAGGCTTGAAGATGAAGAAGATGAAGAAGAAGAAGATGAAGATCTCACCTGTTTCTCAGGCGACAGACCAGACACGGCCATGTAGGTGCTGCCGATGGTCTTGATCTTCTCGATGTCCTGGAAACGGTCCTCACCCAGCAACTGTGATGGAGACACGTTCAGGTACCATTTCATTTGTCTGACCGTCCAGTGTTGGTGTTTGACATGTTTCTGTTGTGAAGGTGAGCTTTTTTGTTCTAGAATAGAACGATTATTGTTGATATTTGGTACCAGAGCTCTGTGAAGTTGTGTCCTGTGTTTGTCTGATGTTTGGAATGAAAACAAGCATCAAGAAGTAGCTGTGGTTAGACCTGCCACTCCTCCAGCAACTCTTTTTAAAAAATGTTTGTTTTTTTTTTCCGTTCCCTCTAAAATTTAGATTGTAACCTCGGAGATTGCGAGTCTGACCTCATCGAAGTCGGCGATGATTTCGTTGAGGAGCCTCAAACACTCCACGCCCTGGTTGTTCATCTCCGTCTGTGAGTAGAAGTCTGCGAATCCTGGTATGGAGGCGAACATGACGCCCACAGCGTCGTACGACTGTGAGTACAGCTCCTGCAGGAGTGAGTGAACAACACAACAGAGAGCAGCCAAACATCAGCCAACCATCCATCAACAAGGATGAAAGTCCACCCTTGAAGTTAGTCCTTTATTCCCTTTATTAAAACTCCAGTCATTCAACTGTCTGTAAGGAAACATTCAGACATTTTTACTGACTTTATCAATTGAATTCTAGGCTAAAGTCAGCAGTAGGAGCCACTGCAGTACACGGATTCTTCCACTAGGGAGCAGTGTTAACCGTTGACATTTTCCTTCTCCCTCTGTTTCTTTCTCCTCCTCCTCCTCCTGTCCCCTCTCTTCGTCCCTCCTGTCTTTTTTCGTCGCCTCTCTTCGTCCCTCCTGTCTTTTTTCCACCATGTTTTGTCCTCGTGGCGTCCTGACTCCATCATCGTTGTGACATCATTGTCTCTAAGGTTAGGACCGTTCGAGGTTTAATTGGTCTAACGAGTCTAACGAGCTTAATGGGCTCACTCAGGTGTCATGGCAGAAAAAGTCAAAGTCAATATAAATAATTGAATGAAGTCTCTGATCCCATCACTCACCACACTCTGTGTGTGTGTGTGTGTGTGTGTGTGTGTGTGTGTGTGTCAGCTGACTGTCTCCATCTTTTTTCTCTCTCTGATTCTCAGAGCTGTTTGTCATAGTTTTTGAGGAGTTGAATTTAGATTGTTTTACTTTTTTTTTTATTGTCTCCTCACGTTGGTTAGCTCTGGACAGGATTGTGGGTTCAGGTTAGGGATTTCTGGCTTCAGTTCGAGCCTAGAGCTCTAAAGTTTAGGCCCATCCTAGTCAGAGGCAGTCTGCAGACCCACCCACGGTTTGGGGGCTACACGTCCCCATTTTGACGGTCCTGTGGGAGGCGTAGAGAAGGGAAGGTTGGCAGCAGGACGGGTTTGTCCTGTGTTTCCGTGCGGATGAGGACGGATGAGGACGGTCAGCGGAGCGGACAGCGATGGCCTGCTCCAGGTCAGTGTGTTGTTCCGTCTCTGTGGACGCCGTCAATGCCAGAACAAAGAGCAGTGAAGCAGATGAATAATGGATGTGAGGAGAGCGGAGCTGATGACATTCAGCCGCCGTGACTGTTCCTAATTAAAAAGACCGCCATTAAAGATGCATCCATTAGGAAGAGCTGGATGGTTCTGATCGCTGCGTACATTATTAACGGATAATGATTGTTGTTACCAGGCGGAGAGGAGCGTGAACGGAGGAGGTGTGTGATCAGGCCTGTGGTGGGGGCCAGTCATGAGCCATAACAGTCGAGGACGTTTGTTCATTTATGTATCAGTCTCCTGACTTAAGGCTAAGCTGCTAACTGTGGTTATCATTCCGATGGTGGTGGTCTTTAGTGACCTTTGATGTTTATCATTCTGATGGTGGTGGTCTTTAGTGACCTTTGACATTTTTATATAACCTGTTCATTTAACTTACTCCACCTTTAGAATGTTCTGCTGTATATTTGACAAACCATTAACTATTTTCTCTTCCATTTGTTGTCATTTATTGATGACTGTGTGTGTTGTTTCTTCTTTTTACGTACTTCGTTATCGCGGTCCTTCTCCAAGAAGTGTCGAGCCACGTGACTGGGCAGGATGTTCCTCAGCATGTTCTCGTTGTGTTCTCGCAGCTCCTTCATCTCGTTTATTTCCTCCTTGGCCTGAACGCGCCACAGGAAGTCTAGTCGAGCGGTGTACTCCAGCTGCAGGTCCGAGAAAAAGATCCCAGAGAGAGAGAGAGAGAGAGAGAGACAGAGAGAGAGACTGTGAGATGAAGAGTGAACCCAGAACCTGAAGGAGCTGCTGCTGCTTCACAGCTGAGCAGCTGCAGATTTCTTCACTGTTCGTCTGGAAAAACTCCGACGAGCAGAGGTGGGATTACGGTTTCTAATTAACGACTGATGTTCGATGATTAAGATGACAACGAGGCTGTGAAGTGTTTCCTTCCCTTTGTGGCTTTTCTTTATTGTTCATCAAGGAAAAGCCATCAACTTTTTTTTTTCTGAAACTCAGACTCTGATTGTGTTTCACAATCCCCACAACCAAAAAAAAAGAAAAAAATACTAGAAGGGAACGCGTGTAGAAGACAGGAAAGGACAAAGGAAAGAAGGAGGTAAAAGCATGTGAGGAGAGGAGAAGTGAGGAAGTGAGGGAGGACATGAGAAGTGGAGTGAGGACTTTATGACCGAGGACAAAGTCTCCAGTGATTCTAAACTTTCTGCTTGATAAAACACTTGAAGGGCTGTGATTGACATCCTGCAGGAATAACCAGGTGATGTCTGTGTCGTTACTGAGAGCACTTCCTGTCGCACTTCCTGCACTTCCTGTTGCACTTCCTGCACTTCCTGCACTTCCTGTCGCACTTCCTGTACGTCCTGTACTTCCTGTCGCACTTCCTGTACTTCCTGTACTTCCTGCACTTCCTGTACTTCCTGTCCAGGAAAGTTGCCCTGCCCTGTTTAAAATGCAGCCACTGCCTGTTTTCACGGTTCAACAAAAGGAGCTTCAATTAGGAGCTGGGTTTTTGTGTGTTGCTGCTGAACTACAGGATCAAAGGTTTCCATAGAGAGAAGATGAAAGTGAAAAGACAGAAAGCTGTGAGTGATGAAAACCAGGAGGAGGCGCCGTGTAACATCAACACCATCTGGCTCAGTTTTCCACACGAGGGACATTGATGAATTAAGAAAGGTCACATGATGATCTCAGTACTGACTTGGTGTCAGTAGTGATTTGACCTAAAATGCTACTGCACTGTTAACATGATAAACAAATGAAAACGTCCATGGTTTAACTTAGGGTTAGTTCAGGACTGGACCAGGGTTTACCTGCTGTCCGTGGTAGAAGACCGCGAGCAGGAACATGGCCATGAGGAGCAGAGAGGTTTCTTTAGTTCCCAGGAAGTTCCTGTTGGAAGAAGAACAAAAGAAGAGGACCGGTTTGATCCAGATCGGATTTCACCTGAAAGCCCCTGGAGGTATCGTATGGTATCGCACAGAACCATGGACTCCAAAAGGTGACGTGGAGACACTCACTCTGTGTTGTGGTGGACGTTGTCGTAACGGACAAACAGTGACGTGTAGAACGCCTCGGTCAGCAGGGAGTAGACGGCGATCATCACCAGCAGCACGGCTAACTTCAGCACGGAGTTCAGCCGCAGGAACACGGCACAGGTCACCATGGCCAGGACACCGGTGAACACAAAGTACTGATACAGAAGAACACGGCACCAATGGAATCATCGGTTCCACTGCACATTAAAGTAACAAACACTGACCATAACAAGTACCAGAGCTAATCCAGCTGTACGTGGACCAGCAGTGCTCAAAGACTGGTCCGAGGCCCAATTGTGGGATGTAGCTACCACTGGGCTAATGTTGACTTATGCTAATGTAGGTTTGCTCAGCTCCAGGTACTGTCAGTGAGGCCCGTCCTCAGGCGATTCCTGACGGTGATGAATGTTTTTCTCTGTTTTCTGATCATTTTTCATTCACCCTTTCATTATTTCTGCAGTAAAATAAATGACCTCTAGGTGCCTCTGAAATTCCTAATTCTTAACTATTAGCTCAGCCTGAGCTGGAATTCCTAATTCTTAACTATTAGCAGCTTAAGGTGCGGAAGAATCGGTACCTCTGGGTAGAAGCAGACGTCAGGGATGGTCGATGACTCGTTGAAGGTCTGGTTCCTGAAGTTGCTGGACTTGTCAAAGTCGCACCACAGCTGCGAAAAAGAGCCGCACACTGGGTTGGTATTACAACGCAGAAGTACGTTTCACAGGGCTAGCTCTGCGTCGTCGTCCTCGTCGTCTTGGCTAACGTTAGCTGACTATTGAGACTGTTGGGTGTGTTTACAGTAGACGCTGGACATTGTTTTGCAACATGGCTAACCTTTAGTGGTTTGTGAGCTAACGATTGCTGCTATTTCCTGTGTAAATCCTAGCACCTAGGTCTTGACTAACAAGTGTTTCGCTAAAGTAATTGGCCACAGGAGGCAGCAGTGGACCACATTTTCAACGTTTAGGTGTTTTAAAGTTTGATGTCCACTTTGTAGAGAAGTTTGCTAACTTTTAGTCATGTCTCTTTTGTCTCTGTTGGTTGAAATCACTTGGTTTTTTTTTTGTACTGCAGGGATAAACCATGTGTGGGATAAACTCACAATGTTGATCATGGCTGACAGGAAGTTGATCAGGATGGAGAGGAAGATGATTACGTTGCGGGCCGTGTAGGTTTCGTTGATCCAGCAGCAGGTTTTCCTCAGGACCAGAGGCAGACACTTGTAGTCCTCGGCTGTGGTGACCAGGACCAGGGCGGAGTGGAGGAGGATGAGGACAGAGAACTGGATCAGCATCGTCAACATCCTGCACAGAACCATACCAACACACACACACACACACACACACACACGTTCACACACAGGAACACTGCTCCGTGTGTTAGCTGGTGTGCTAACTCTCCGTGGTTCTATTTTACCTGGCAGACGGCAGCAGACTCTGGATGATGGTGATAAAGACCAGGACAATGAAGGCACACACCAGGTTGGACTTGAAGACCTCGTCCCTCATCTGGGAGTACTGTAGGAGGAGACCAGGGAGTCAGTGATCAGAGACGTTACTGCAGTCCAAAATAACTGATGATGTGGGTCAGCTCTGGTGTGTGACCTACGTTGTGCTTCCCCATGATGTTGTCAAAGGGCAGTTCTGGATTCCATGAGGCCTCGTTGAAGGTGGCGCTGCCGGCACAGCGGTCGGCCGTGCCGCTGGCCTCCTTCATGATGTCTTCTGGTAGTGTCAGTAGACTGTCCTCTGGCTGCTTGATCAGGAACGTCTCAATGTTGTGACGCCGCAGGAAGTCGTTACGGTCCTTCCCATGTCCTTCCTCCACCTGGTAGTCGCCGTTCAAACAGTCCAGTGCTGCCTTGGAGATGTGGATCCTCCTGGAGGAGGACGGAGAGGAGTTTCAATTATTTTAGTCACTCACTCTGGCTGAAGCTAACTTTTAGCGCAGACAGACGGACTATCAGAATTATCTTTGATCATTTCTATATTTTATATTTCTTTTTGTGTTAGATTTAGTCATGTTACTGCTACTTTACTAACTTTTAGCCATGTTTACTGTGTTTTTTTTAGTTGCTCAGTTGTTGGTGGTTAAATTATTGTTTACTATAAATTTTCTCCAGCAAATTTAAATAAAATTTTTAGGCTTTTAGTACCTTCTAATTTTCCAGGTTACATCAGGTTATATGTTGTTAAATTCCAATCATATTACTTGCTAATGAGGCCCTGCCGTGTGGCTAAATGTTAGCCATATTCTTGTCTCTCTTTCTGGCCTAAAATGTTTTTTAAACTGACGTGAATTCTTGCTATAATAATGAAACGTCTCTCTCTCTCTCGTCTCCTCACCCTGGAATTCCTCCTGACTCCAGTTTGTTGGCGATGTCCACATCCCAGGACCAGACATCAAACTGCCACTTCCTGAGACCCAGTACTCCACACAGAACCGAGCCAGAGTGGATCCCGATTCGCATGTCGATGTCATGTTTGGTGCGCGATCGTACGTATCTGAAAATTAAACAACTTCCAACTTCACAACTTCACTTCCTCCTCTGAAACTCACAAAGGTCCTGACTCTGCTGGTTCTGTTCGTACCTTATGGCCTTGATCATACTGAGGCCCATCTCCACACAGCAGTGGGCGTGGTCCGGTCTGGGCTCAGGAAGTCCAGACACACAGTAATAACAGTCACCCAGAATCTTTATCCTCAGACAGTGATGCTCCTGAGAGGGGGAGAGAAACGTGGTGACGGGGGTGAGAGGGTGAGAGAGTGAGAGGATTTTCTCCATGGACTTTGGTCTGAACTAAAATCTCTGATTTTCTCCATGGACTTTGGTCTGAACTAAAATCTCTGATTTTCTCCATGGACTTTGGTCTGAACTAAAATCTCTGATTTTCTCCATGGACTTTGGTCTGAACTAAAATCTCTGATTTTCTCCATGGACTTTGGTCTGAACTAAAATCTCTGATTTTCTCCATGGACTTTGGTCTGAACTAAAATCTCTGATTTTCTCCATGGACTTTGGTGTGGGTGGTTAACGTTTTTATTCTCTGACACTCACATGTGCGAGGCGATCAAAGCGTGCGAAGAGTTCGTTCAACATCCTGACCAGCTCCTGAGCCGACAGCGTCGTGGACAGGTTGGTGAAGCCTTTAACATCTGCGAAAAGAATGCTGAATAAAATATGGAAATGTCACTTTTTGATCCAGGCCAAAAAAAAAAGATCAACTACTGACATGATGTGACGTGAACTGTTTTCTCTGTTGAACTGAATCCACTCTGCTCTCTTTTTTTTTTGGTTGTTTTCGGACCAAACTAACGGTTTAAAATGATGGTGATTTTAAAAGTCTTCTTTGGATGTGACGTGAACTGTTTTCTCTGTTGAACTGAATCCACTCCAAACTAACGGTTTAAAATGATGGTGATTTTATAAGTCTTCTTTGGAGTCTGACAGGACGTATTTGTTTCTACCTTCTCTTTTCCTGATTTTTCCTCTCTGATGACAGTGCCCTCTAAAGGAAATATTGATGTGTGAAAAATAGACCCAGCAGATGGCAGTAATGGCAGTGAAAAGATTCACATCTGCTGGTGTAGCTCAGAGGAGAACTGAGGCTGTGGGTGTTAGCGGGTGTTAGCGGGTGTTAGCAGGTGTTAGCGGGTGTTAGCTTTGTTGAGCCTTGATGGCTGCTCTGTCCAACTGTGTCCCTCATTACTGACTGCACCTTTAACAACAACAACAACAATCCTAATAAAAACATGCAGTGTTCTTGATACAACATGAATCATTAGGTCGTCGTTCTTTCAGTTCTTTCAGTTCTTTCTGTGGTTCTCGGCACTGGTTCCTGCACTGGAAGCGTCCAGTGCCCATAAACATTGTGTGATGTGTCGCAACAGGAAGTGACGTCAGTGCACCCCCACCTGACGTTCTCGTAGCGATGGATGTAGATTCTGTGGAACTGATGCTGCAGGTGTTCGTCCTCCACGTTGGTCATGTCGTTGATCATCTCCAGAACCACAAAGCGTGGGAGGACAGACAGCACGAGTCGTTCCTGCGGGAACAGAAACCTCGCTTTTTAAAATTGACCAAATACCCAGGTTTATGAACTGTGAAACTCTTCATTTTTTGATGTCACTGTCACTGACAACAGGGGGCGCCAGTACACCAGAGGCGTCTGTTTCTCTGTGAGCTCAGTCCACCAGCTAAGGTTGTTATTATGGACTGTTTTCAGGTCTGATAGGTAAAGGGGGGGGGGGGTCTCATACTGGAGTAGGTGAGAAAGAATGTCATTCCAAAAAAAGATGTTGATGATTTACAAATGTCCTGGAGAGGGCGTTAGAGTGAAGCTGTGTCTGCGTCCCCGTCACGTCCCTGTCACTCACCTGTCTCTGGTTTTCTGTCTCCAGCCTGAGGCGAGCCTCGATGCAACGCCGCGTCTCCAGGAAGGCCTGGCGCTGTGCGCGGTCCGACAGGTAACTGATGAAGATGCCGGCGGTGTTCATACACATGAAGAGCATGGCCTGGGCTGCCACCTGCAGGGGGAGACAGAGACAACAGGTGGGTCAAATCCACAGGTTCACTGAAGTCTTCACCTCCGTCGGCCAAAGTCGCTCATTTTCTCTGTGGCCTTTGGCTGGAGCTGGTGGCTGAACTGGTGACACGGTTCTATCATGGCGTGGCCCGGGTTTGTTCCTGTTCTCGGGGCATCGAGGGGCCCATCCAGAACATAAATGTATAAATACTGAAGGTCGTAAATAGTTTGTTCTGCAGAGTGTTCTGTCTGGAGGGAAAAACACAAACACTAGAGAACTGTGTTTTAGTCCAAAGACGGCAGAGTGTGAGTGACCGTGACTGAAGGTGGTCTGAACAGACGGTCTGTCTGAGGAACACATGACCTCACGCTCAGTCACACACGTGTGTGTGTGTGTGTGTCAGTGACGGCGTGTCACTGAGGTAAAGAATCATGACAGGAAGGACGTGTGTGTGTGTGTTTATGAGCCGTCGTTTAATGTACTGACATCTGTGTTAAATTTCATCCACTTCAAGATTATTGAGACACTGACGTTTCATAGTTCAGACCAAAGTCCATGGAGAAAATCAGAGATTTTAGTTCAGACCAAAGTCCATGGAGAAAATCAGAGATTTTAGTTCAGACCAAAGTCCATGGAGAAAATCAGAGATTTTAGTTCAGACCAAAGTCCATGGAGAAAATCAGAGATTTTAGTTCAGACCAAAGTCCATGGAGAAAATCAGAGATTTTAGTTCAGACCAAAGTCCATGGAGAAAATCAGAGATTTTAGTTCAGACCAAAGTCCATGGAGAAAATCAGAGATTTTAGTTCAGACCAAAGTCCATGGAGGCTGCTTCCTGGCTCAAAAGACAATTCTTTTTATCTGAAATTTGATTTAAACACTGTAATTAAAAATATTATAATCTTTGTCTAATTGAGATTATAATCCAGAAGAAACTGTTGGACAAAGTTCTCATCACTGCAGACCGATGGTAAAACCCTGTCTGTAGAACCATCTCAGTGCTGTTTAAAGCACAGGCAGCAGATGTTCAGTCTGGTTCAGTCTTGTGTCTAATTAATCCCTCTGTGTGTGATTGTGTGTTAGTCTACAACACAGTTACAAACTATTGCATCATTCTTTGTCATTAGCTTTGAGCTAGCGTCCCTTTGATTAACTCTCAGCTGTTCCTGGTTAAATTCATGTGGTTATTTTTATCCTCCACTCTTTAGAACCGTGGTGTGACCTGAAGTTTGTTGGTCCAGAAAAAGAGAAGCCGGAGCTTCTGCTGGACCTGTTGAGGTGGACCACACCCACGGGCCTCAGGACTGGGCTGCAGTCCGACCGGACACGGTGGTAAATGTTTCACACAGCAGCAGCCTTTGTTTCCGCTCCACAGAACCATCGTGTTCTTCTCACAGATCAACACGTGGCTCCAGAGCACAACAGTGATCTAACACTTCAGACCAGGATCACATTAAAAATAAATCAGGATTTAGCCCCTGGTTGATCTGCCTCCAGCCTGCAACGCCCTCCCTCTCCCACACCAAACCTCATAGAGAAAAGGAGCGATTTTAGCCTCAGCTCCTGGTTCTCCAGGTTCTTCCCAAAAAACGTGGAGATCGGAGATTAGTTTAATGTTCACACTAAACCGACCGTAGGTGTGAATGTGAGTTAATGGAAGTCTACTGATGGATAATCGATAACAGGGGGCGCTGTAGCTGCTGCTAACACACACACAAAAAACACATTGAACATTTGAACAAAACAACGCTCTGGTGCGTAGCACCACCTAGAGGCTGAAAAAGTGCGACAGTCTCAGTGTTATCTGATTATTTCCACCTTTTCTTGAACAGCTAATGCTGCTGACGCTGACGCTAACGTTGTTTCTGCTGCTGCTGATGATGATGATGATGATGCTGCTGCTGCTGCTTCTTACCTCCACCTCTAGACGTTGCCGCTGCCACCATCAACGGCCGCTTTTCATTTTTGTTCTCCTTGGGAATAGGAGAGGCCTCTAGGGGGCGTGGGGCAAATTGAATCAGAGCTGATAGTCTCCTGAGAGCGGATTAAAAAAACAACAGTGTCTTAATTGTGCTGCAGGAAAAGACCTCTGCTCCACCTCCACCTCCACCTCTGGGTGTGTGTGTGTATTCTTCTTTTTACCGTCACATTTCTGGTTTCTAACGTCCACAGTTTGGGTGTTTCTGGTTTCTAACGTCCACAGTTTGGTTCAGTTATTTCTCTGGAGCGCCCCCCCCCCACTCCCTGACCTTTGTTGTTTGACCTTTACCAGCAGATGTTTCACCTGCAGGAGGTTCTGATCACTGTCAGCACAGAAACCTGGCTGATGTTCACAGGACCAGGTCCAGGACTAGGTCCAGGACCAGGACCAGAGTGAAGTCACAGCTCACTGACCGGACCACCGGCAGGTCAGGACAGCAACACTGACCACAGGGTTCTGGTCACATGGTCCTGGTGTCGTGACCTGAGGTAAGTCTGAGCTCATTAACCTTTGATGACCTTTGACCTCCTCAGCCTAACCCACAGGACGGTAATGATGAGGAGGAATCTCCACCACCGGACGAGGAGGAGCAGAGAATAAGATGAAGAAGGGAAAGACTGAGGAGGAGGAAAAGGAGGCAACGGCAGAAGACGAGAGAGGAGGAGGAGGAGGAGAAGAAGGACTGAAAGGAAAATGGACCAAGAGGGAGAAAAAGAGGAGGAGAAGATGAGATGATGTCAAACTGTACGACCTCAAAGTCACAGTCACACCACCGCCTGACAGGAGCAGAGAGGAGCTGAGCTGCTGCTCCTCTCTGCTGCTGCCGCCTTATCTCCTCACTGCAGACGCTGCTGCTGCTGCTGCTGCTGCTGCTGCTGCTGCTGAGGCTGAGGCTGAGGCTGAGGCTGAGTTTGACCTTGAAAAAGAGGAAACTGCAGCAACAACTGCTCAGCTGTGTGTGAGGGCTTAAAAAGACAGAGAGAGGAGGGGGAGGAGGAGGAGGAGGAGCATGAGGAAGGTGGACGACAAGGAGACACGAGGAGGAGGAGGAAAAAGAGTGGGAAAAGGAGGAAACAGGAGGGAGGAAGTGTTGAAGACTGAGGACAAAAATACGAGCGGGGGGGGCACACTGGGGGGGGGGCAAGAGCAAGTGAGGAGGAGTAAAGATTGAGGAAAAAATAGAAACAAAGAGAGGAAAAGGAGAGGAGGTGAGGAGGATAAAGAAGAATAGGTGAAAGACTTTTATATTAGAAACATAAAATATATACTGTATGTAAATATAAAATATATACTGTATATAAATATATACTGTACGTAAATATAAAATATACTGTATATAAATATATACTGTACATAAATATAAAATATACTGTATATAAATATATACTGTACGTAAATATAAAATATATACTGTACGTAAATATAAAATATACTGTATATAAATATAAAATATACTGTATATAAATATATACTGTACATAAATATAAAATATACTGTATATAAATATATACTGTACGTAAATATAAAATATATACTGTACGTAAATATAAAATATACTGTATATAAATATATACTGTACGTAAATATAAAATATACTGTATATAAATATATACTGTACGTAAATATAAAATATACTGTATATAAATATATACTGTACGTAAATATAAAATATACTGTATATAAATATAAAATATACTGTATATAAATATAAAATATACTGTATATAAATATATACTGTACATAAATATAAAATATATACTGTACGTAAATATAAAATATACTGTATATAAATATATACTGTACATAAATATAAAATATATACTGTATGTAAATATAAAATATATACTGTACGTAAATATAAAATATATACTGTATATCTCTGATTTTCTCCATGGACTTTGGTCTGATATACAGTATATATTTTACCATGGAGAAAATCAGAGATATACAGTATATATTTTATGTTTAAAATCTCTGATTTTACACACACTGAGCCTCTGTCCATCTGTCAGTGGATGCAGTCAGAACCAGGACCAGGACCAGACTGTAGTTCCTCTGTGAGACTGAGAGCTTTTTAGAAGCTGTGACAGTCGATACCTGAGCCTCAGTCAGCAGACGATCGATGACGGCAGACTATTCTGAGAGGCTCCGAGGAGAACGTTCCTTCTCCTCCTGGACCTCAGGCTGAACTCACCCACAGCGCCCCCTGCAGTGAAAATTCAGGTCAAAGGTTCAGGTTTAACTGACGACTCGGCTCACGAGACCAGCAGCCGGACTCGAACCCTAACCCCTGCGCTCACAGCCGCCGCTGCTTCAGTCCTCACACGGGTGAGCTGATAGTCTGCCTGGAGTGAAGCATGATGGGATTGTTTGTGACAGCGGTGTTAACGCTCAGTGTCTGTGTTTACAACCACACAAGATGTGATTGGAGTCTGTCACATGAGTCACATGACTCTGAGACCAGGCAGCAGTGACTCAGCATTTTTACTGCCAAGGCACAGGACGCAAGGAGGGAGGGAAGGAAGGAAGGAGGGAAGGAAGGAAGGAGGGAAGGAAGGAAGGAGGGAAGGAAGGAAGGAGGGAAGGAAGGAAGGAGGGAAGGAAGGAAGGAGGGAAGGAAGGAAGGAGGGAAGGAAGGAGGGAAGGAAGGAGGGA